TATCACAAAGCTTTAAAAATTTATTATTCTATTGATAAAATACAAACTGAAATGTTAGGAATCAACCATCCAGATACAATGAAAACAAAACATAATATTGAAACTGTATGCAATATATGGCAAAATATAACGAAGCTTTAGAAATATATTATTCTGTTGATAAAATAGTAACTGAAATTTTAGGTTTCAACCATTCACAAACAATGGCAACAAAACATAATCTCGCAAACTGCTTGTGCTATATGAAGAAATATGACAAAGCTTTAGAAGTTTATTATTCTGTTGATAAAGTACAAACTGAAATTTTTGGTATCAACCATCCAGATACAATGGCAACAAAAAATCATATCGCATGCTGTTAGTATGCTTTGAGAAAATGTAACGAAGCTTTAGAAAATTATTATTCTGTTGATAAAATATTAGGTATCAACCATGCGAATACAATGAAAACAAAAAATTAAATCGCAACATGTTTGAAAAATTTGAAAAACAGCAAATAATCTGTTTAATTATTTGATTTTTATTTCAGTTTTAATATATATAAATTTTATCAATAGATAAAATATAATCGACGAATGTTTTCCTTTAAAAGTTTGAGAACTCCGTATTTATAATAAAATCTTAGTTTTTCATAAGCATTTAAACAGCGGATTTTCATAAGCATTTAAACAGCGAATTTTCAAACAAGAAAAAAAAATTCGTTCATTGTATATGGTTAAAAAATATCTATTTTTTTAAGTTGTTTTTTTTTTTTTTTTTTTTTTAATTTTTTTTTTCTTTCAAAAAACTAGGCACAACCTCTAAATGTGTGCAAAATAATAAAATAACACTAGGTTTAAAATTTTTTTGAATGAAAAATATTTAAAGGGGTTTCCTAAGACCCTTGAATATTTAATGGGTCTCTAATATTAAAAAAAAAGAGTTTTTTAAAAATAGGTCAACCTGGTACTCAAATGAAGCGAAATTATATAAAAATTTCAAATATAATAATTATTTTAAACAAAAATAATTTTTTTAACTTATCAAAATTATTTTAAAAAAACTTTAAAAAATGTTAATTTTTAGGCAATAAAATCTAAAATATAGTTATTTTTTTTCAAAATAACAACTAATTTTTGAAATTTTTATAAAATTTTGCTTCATTTGAGTGATATACACACACTTTTTTTATAAATGACTTTTTTTTAAATAAAGGTTTTGAAGTTTTTAGATATGGAGGAATTTTTTAAGTATTTAATAATTGTTCCCTCCCCTCCCCAACTTTGAAAACCGCGTTGTCGGCCCTTTAGAAATGCAATGTTCTTAAGAGTTGTAGGTTATTTTAAAATACTTATTGTCTACATTTATTGATTTGTACAGAAGTGTACATTATTGTTTATGTTTAATACATTAGTACAAAAGTGTACTAATGTATTAAAGTACTTTGCAAACAATGTACATAATGCATACTTCTGTACTAAAGTACTCTTTTGAATGTACTTTGGAAAGAATACAATACATCACATTCTGAAATATTTTTGTATTTAAACATATGTTTTCACTCATTCATACTAACAATCAATAAAACTCAAAGAAATTACTTCTGTACGGTATTCACGTACCTCAAAATCACGCAGTACAAAATTACGATTGGTCGATTTCCAGTTTTGTAAATAACTAGTATTTATTTAATATTAACAAGAAGAATGAATACTTCTAAAATTACTAGATTCAATTTGGATAAAAAAGAGCCTTCTATTAGAGATATCCTGAGGAAGGGTCTTTTAATACAAGAATGTTTGCTCATTGAAAAAGATATTGACAAGTATGTAATGAAAAGTCACATTTAAAGATTGCAGAAATATTGTTTATATTCACTAAGTAAAACCTTTTTATTATTTGTTATATTTTTAAGGCTATCTCTGTAAGAGATTTTAGTGTAAAATTAGTAGATTTGGTTCTTCAACTTGAATGCTCTTTTGAATGATTGAAGGCTCTTTTCAATTTTCTTGTGTTATTAAACAAGATATCTTTCGTACAGAAAATAAAATTAGTCTGGAATAATTTTAGTGATATTTCTAGAAGAAAAGCAGCCCAAAAAATTGTTTCTACATGGAAATCAAATTAAATCAATTGCTTAAAAAAAGATTCCCAACAGTGAACTTATTTGGTTAAAAATTGAAAGAGAAAAAACTGGGTCACTATCAAAGTATCAAATGACTTGTAAATATACTAAGGAAACAGCTAGACAGGTTTCTTTAGAAAAGAAGAAGCTGAAAAGAAAGTCTAAAAAAAAAATCAAAAAAAAAAGAAGGAAGAAACTTTATAGAATAAAGATCTTTTTGAGTCTTTCATTTGTGGTGATAATTCAAATAGAGTAGAAATGGACAATAAACCTGCTTCAACTAATAACTGGGACCTAAATTTTATGTCTATTAGTATTAGTGGTGAAGCTTCTTTGAGATTTGCAACATTAGCAGTAATTTCAAGAGCTGCAACATTAGCAGTAATTTCAACTTTTCTTCAAGACCTTATTCTATGTAACTTTTAAATACCAGGAATGTCCTATTTAGCTGTAGCTCCTAAAAAAGTTGTTAAAGCTTAGAAAGTAGTTATGACTAAAGCAAAGACATCTGAAGAAATAAAGATTCAATTACAACCTATCAAAGGTATATTTGCTGACGACAGAAAAGATTTTACCAGAATTTTAAAGCACAACCTTGTAACAAACAGTTTCATCAAAGGTGAAAGAAGAACACATTAGTGTTACTTCTGAGCCTGAAAATCACTATATTACACATTTTATACCCATGAAGGCAATGCCTCCCAATAAGACTGTTACACAAGTAGCTATTAAACAATTTAATTAGATGGTTTCTTGGGGAGTACATAAAACTCTAGAAGTAATAAGAGGAGAATCAACAAATGCTGTAACAGGGAAAGATGGAGTTTGTTGACAAAAAAGGTTTGTTGACAAATCTTGAACAATTGTAGAAAGTGTTTCTGATGTACAAGTATGCTACATTGCAATGAGATTCTTTTGAGGCACATTATCATCACTCTGGATGAACCCACCAATTCAAAGGTTGGTTTCACTGAATTAGTGAATAGTATAGAAAGACTTGATACATTTGAAGCTATTGTATAGTTTGAACCATTAATCCAGATCCCTAAAAAAACTCTAATTTTAATGTCAACAGATTTAACTCTCTGCTATAAACTGATTACATGTTTGACTTCAGGCAGATGGAGCCAAGGTTTGCCATTAAAGCCATCAAAGAGGTACAAAAAGGTTTGGAATATGGAGACACTTGAATCAGGCCAAGGAAGTTGGTCCAACTCAATCTGGGAGCTATATACATACAAGAACTGATCCACTCGGATAAAGACAATAAATTAGAACCTGTTTTTACTTGTCAAAGTTCTACAAAAGATCTTGACAATTTCTTAGAGACATCTTTTTTGCGTCTTACTTTACCCTACACACAAAGTCTTGTGAAAGAGCGGTAAAAGAGGTGACAGATGCATCTGCATCTGTTTGTGGGTTTGAGAGAAAAGATGGATTTATTAGGGCCAGGATAGCTCATAGACTATTAATGTCTAAACTGCACTCTAAAAAAGGTTTAAGAAACATTTTTATACAGACACTTGAATTTGATTATTTATACTGTAAATATATGCTTGAACATGAATAAGTAACTTTGCCAAACCAGTAGTTAATCTTAAAAAAAAACAATTCCCGGGTAGGTAGAAATTATATTTTTTTTCTCGAATTTTTTTATTGTAACTTAATATTACTTAAAATTTCTGAAAAAAAAAAGTCTGAGAACAGCGCTCCCCCGGGCTTCCAGCCATTGTCGTCCCTAGTTTAATCTTGGTTTTTTGACGCCAATGATTTTACCAGTTTTTTCATGTGTTAAACACAAATAACAATAAAATTGGATTGAAATTTACTGAGATATAATTATTTTTTTTAATTTGGAAATTTTTCGATTTTACGATGACAAAAAAAAACAGTTCCCCGGTAGGTAAAAAATATTTTTTTCGAATTTTTATTCATTATATATATTGGCACTATAATATTGATGCTAGAAGTTTCTTTGCTCATTTTTGTTTTAAGTGATGTACCTAATATATATATATATATATATATATATATATATATATATATATATATATATATATATATATATATATATATATATATATATATATATATATGTATATATACTCTTGCATGTCTCTTGCATGCACGGTCGTTTCGCCATGGACATTTATAGTGGGCATGCGTATTACGCATGATCTCAATTATGCTGTTTTTTCACTAGCCTTAAAAACGAAGCGTTTTGTGACTTTTTAAATCTTGATATATACGATATAAATATATATTTACTTACTAATTATTATGTTTTTATCTTATCTTACATTTTAGTAAATAGGAAAAATTATAATAACTATAAACATGTGACGCCTACAGCTATAATTCACCTTTCAATTCGTCTCATATTTTATCGCAGATTTTACTACCACTTTTATTCTTTAATAAAACTTAAAAAAATCAATTTTTTAGTTGTAGTGTTATATATCATTGGAAAGAATAAAAGCTGAATTTTAATAATTAGCATAGTATTTTTACCAGCCATTTCTTTAACTAATGATATTAGGTTATAAAGTTTAATAATTTTTCACTATTTCTCAATTATTCGAAAAATAATATGGCTGACTTTTTTTAAGTTAATAACACCTTTAAGTAACTTTATTCAAACACTAAATATATATATATATATATATATATATATATATATATATATATATATATATATATATATATATATATATATATATATATATATATATATATATATATATATGTATATATATATATATATAAATATATATATATATATATATATATATATATATATATATATATATATATATATATATATATATATATATATATATATATATATATATATATATATATATATATATATATATATAACGTAAACTATATAATTTTAATTTGTAATTTTTTTTTTTCGAGGGATGATCGGCACTTTTAAAGATTTTGATATTGAGTTATTTCTCGTGTAATGGTCTCTCATGACACTTTCTAGTTTTCGGGTGCCCGACATGTTAGAGTATAATCTTTCTATGTTAATAAATTCTGCGTGTATACTTTCGCCACCTTGTTCTCCATATAATCCAAGCCCAACTCCCCATTTGTTTAAAAAAACTTCCATATGATCCTCTAACATATGCATTTTTGGAGTTATCGATTCATTTGGCCAATTAGTTCGAAAAAACGTCAATAGTTCATGAACCGTTGCTTCTAAAATAAAACAAACTTAACTAATAAATGTATTGGTAAAAAAATCTCCGTTCCTATCAGCAAGAGGCAACAGTTAAGATCTTAAGAGTGTTAATATATATATATATATATATATATATATATATATATATATATATATATATATATATATATATATATATATATATATATATATATATATATATATATATGTATATATATAAATATATATACATATACACATACAAGGGCAGATAAGGGAGAGGGGTCTTATATATATAGTCTATAACCTTACCAAAACTCTGCACTTTTGTATTGTTGAATATTTCGCACGAATTCATTTCTTTGTGACACTTTGAAAACTTCTCAAACAAAACTTTGAATTTTTTACATATGCCAATTGCCTCCATCTGAATTGGATGTTCAGGAAGGTTTATATGATTAAAAACTGTTTCAGGAACTGAGTTGCATAACTTTATTATGTTTTCATACTAAAAAATAAAAAATAATTTTCTAAAAAATAAATTTTAAGTATATAAATTATATAAGATCAGAATGGGAATGCTAAAAAAACTCCATAAACCTGCATAGTATACAGAAAAACAGATCAATGTTATTACCTAAAAGAATAAATATATTTAAATAACAATGTTACCAATAACATTTTATGAATATGATTTCCAATAAAGGAGCGACTATGAAAAGCTTGACGTAGCACTCCACATGACTGCAAAACAGATTCAATTTCCTTTACTATTGGGCCGGCTCCTTGATTCAACTCAACTTTAAAACATTCTGCAATTCGTCCCTCCTTATAAAGTAAATACAATTATTGATGTATAAATAATCCGAATGTCCTTAAAATAAGTCAATGTTTCTTGTACTTTTTAATGTAAATATACCTTTTCTGTTCTCTTTGATTCTAACAGTGCAATTCTGTCTTTGTACATTACCTTTATGTTTTCTGAATTTTCAGGGTTATGAATTACTTCAATAACACAAGCATCTTGAATAAGAAGAATTTTGTTATTTATATCTTCAATGGAATATTTTAACTGGAATATCTCTACCTGTTTCTCAACATAATCATCATACTCACTTAAATCAATACGTTTATCATGAATTGCAAGAACTCCTGCTAGTTTGATATCAAGAAGATGAGACTCTTTCTCCAACAAGTTGAAAAATTTAAGAAATATTCCTAATGTGATGTGGAGAGCTGGTATCGCTATCTATAAAGAGATTTATAATAGTATATAATACTTAATAACTTTTTAATGTGTAGTACATATATTACTGGAAAAATGTTTTGACAAAAACTATTACAAACCTGTTCAATTGGTATATCAAATAATGGCTCGTCGATTACATTATTAAACTTCTTTGCATTTTTATTGTTACCTCCATCATTTTTAAAGCGTTCAAAATCTGATTTCAAAGATTCAAGTGTTCTCAAAAAGATTGATTGATTTCGATCTTTCATACTCAATTGCATTTCATTTTTTGTGATTTCACAAAATAAACAGCAATGTCGACCTGTTAAATGATATTATTTTTAAATTTCTTATAAACACTATGCACTTTTAATAGTTGACTCAAAAAGTACTGAAATCATGGTCTAACCAGTTGCTCCTGAGATGCCATAGACAGGACAAAGAAATTCAAAATCGCCAAATATAAATACACGAAAATTCTTTTCTCTAAAACAACAATGCTTTAAAATCAAATCATAACTAAAATAGATATTTCTACAAACATTTATTAATGTAATTATCCCAAACTAAATTTCAGAAATATTTTTTTATTCACCTCCATTTCATTGACTGAATCTGTCTTATTTTATCTGTGTGCCTTGATAGTTCAATTTTAAGGTTTGCACGATAGTCTTTGGCCTTAAATATATTAAAAATTGTTGTATTATTCTTTGAATTGGGATTTACAACATTAGCTAATTGATAACACATTTTTAACGAACTACCTCCATAGTCACCTCCTATCTTTATATGTATTTCCCCAGGAGTTATCTTGTCATACATGAGTTGGTTATGCCTATAATGATATTATTTTTAACGCAATTTTTATTTATAACCAAATAATTTTTACAAACTTAAGCATCAGCATTTTTGCTTCATAACACAACAAATTAGACTTCTAATCAACATCAATGTTGTAATGACAACTGATATGAACATTCAGTCATTTTTTAGCATCAATTTAGCATAAATTGGAATCTGAAATTGAGCACATAATTTAATGTCATGAATATTAGCCATTTTTTGGTATATCTAAGAATCTGGTATTTATTATAATAAGTTGGTATTTATAATAAACACAAATTATTTTTAAATAAAATTTAATAGAATACAAATCTGGATTTGAATAATAAAGAAGCATTTATCATGTTTATAATTTTAGTTTTATTTTGAACTTACCTTTCTAATTCATTAAGCACCTTGATTAAATGTGATGATAAATCATTTATATTTGCTGTTGGTGTTTGTTGTAAATCAAAAGTCCCTCTTTTGTTTATTGATTCCACCAGAAATTCTTTATCTTCAACAACCAAATCATCACCTGACCAATTTTTTGAAACTTTTCGTTGATTTGAAAGTGAAGGTAGTTTGACATTTTTTGACTTGAAAAATCTAAAATATGAAATAGTTTTTTTGGTTTGTATATGTTGAAAAAAAAAAGTAAAAAAAAAACATGCTAAAACTACTTTTGTAATGTAAATATTTATAAATATTTATAATTTGAGATAACTGAATTAGCTTTGTATGCAAAAAGCAGTGTAATAAAAAGTATATTATTAACCTAATCATTTTTTTCATTTTTTCCCAAGGTAAACCACAGTCTGCCTTCAGTGAAACAATGTCCTCTGACCCAGCTTTTTTTAGTATATCAATTTTATCATTTTTATCAAAGGAATTGAGCATAAGCGCTACTTGTTGCATTTTTGCCTTTTTTGTCGGTCCTGCATTCTCTATTAGTGATTGATGTAGTTGCTTTTGACGTCTTGGAATGGTTTTTTGACTAATATCAGTTGATGTTTTGTAGATTTTTGGAGTTGCTGAAAACTGTATAGCCTGTAATAGACAATTTATTTTTTCACTATATGCAAATATTTGATTTACTTCTTTAAAAAAATTATATATTTCTTACCCGTAGACCACCAGAAGGAAGTTCAAATGAATGTGAATTGTTTTTTGCCTTTTTCAGTTTTGCAAAGTGAGCAAATGCATAGTCTAATTCTTTAGGAATGTCATAATTTTTATCAATTTTGTAAATGTCTGCAACTGTCAATGAGGAGTGTGATGATGCTGAACAACTGTATGATATGTTTTCACTTTTGTATACTTGTTCATGTTCCTCCTTATTGCTTATACTTTTTGTGTCAAACTGCATGACACAATCGTCATTGCATGTATTTTTAGAACACTTCAGAGCTATACTCTCAAGGATATTTTGCATTGCTGTTGCTTTTGAAATACTACCTAAAGTTATGTTTGAGCAACATATTGGGCATTTTGCTTCTGTTTCTAATTTTCCAATTAAATTTGGAAAAATACATGTAGCACAAAATAAATGTTGGCAGTTATTAAGTAAGACAGGTCTATGTATTATTCTTTTGCAAAACATGCAGACACATAAGTCTTTGTGTGGGTGATCAGCTATGTTGATAGACTCATAGCACATGCGAGACATATCAGAAAAACTGTCTAATATTACATTAAGTGACTCTCTTGTCCAAATAACTTTATTGCCTGATGGTGGTCTTCCACATTGCTTCTTCTTCTTTCTACCGGACTTCTTTACAAAACAAATGCATCTTTCGAGTGAACATGTTTGTGGCCAGTGTTTTATACTGAAATTTGATGGGGTTGTTCCTCGTTGTTTGATATGCCTCATTACTGTAAAGCATTTCATGCAAATTTTTGGTGGGTGTGTTTCTGCTCTCTCTTCTCCTACCTCAGTAAAAAATGTCTGGTCAACTCTAACTCTTGTTGATATAACATCAAATGAATCATTGCCAACATAATTTCCACATAACCTGCAAAGCTTGACAAGACAAGATAAGTGGTTAGCAGCAGTAGCAGTCGCCATATTAGATAGTTAGGTACACTTTTTTAATTAAAAATTTCTTTAACTTTAAAAAATGGCTGGTAAATAAATTTGATGTTTTTTAAAAGTATTTATATTTTTGTTTTAGAATCTATTTAGTTCTCAAAGCAAAAAATTGAATTAAAAAAATTACAGTAGTTTAAAAAACAAGAAATTTTGAAAAAATACATATTTTTAGAGCCATTAAAAATTTGTTAAAAACCAATGAAAGTAAACTTTGTTTTATTTTGCTATCATGTTTAGTCCTATAAACGTCTTCAAAGTCGTTGAATGAGGAAGAACAACATTAAGAAGGAAAAAGTACAACAGTTTTAAAATGTGTGCCTATTTATACGGTTTCTAAAATATAGGATTTCGACTCAAAAAAAAAAAATCAATGTAAACGCATGCGCACTATAAATGTCTGAAAGGGATCGATATTAAACGACTGTGCATGGCATCAAAAAAAGTTTCCCATAAACTGTAGTTTTAAAGATCGCGTTAATAAACCAGACCAGAAAAAGTTTTGAAAAATAATTTTTTTTTTTTAATTGATAGACTGCCTGGCCAAACCAAACCCTCAGTCGATGTAGCAGCACTCTCTTGCGAGTCAGGCTATTTGTCAGTCGTTGTAGCAGCACTCCCTTGCGAGTCAGGCTATTTGTCAGTCGATGTAGCAGCATTCCCTTGCGAGTCAGGCTATTTGTCAGTCGATGTAGCAGCACTCCGTTGCGAGTCAGGCTATTTGTCAGTCGATGTAGCAGCACTCCGTTGCGAGTCAGGCTATTTGTCAGTCGATGAAGCAGCACTCCGTTGCGATTCAGGCTATAAGATAGTCGATGTAGCAACATTTACGCATGTTTTAAAAATGTTTTTTATTAAATCAATAACAAAAACACCACTAATTAAAAAAAAACTTTCTAGTCGTTATAATTGCGGTTTTTTAAAAATTTTTTAAAAAACAATTAAATTTAATGTACTTCCGCATAAATTAATTGCTTTGACATTTCGATGACAATCAAAAACCGAGGTAATTAAAATTGTAGGCGTAAGAGACTTTTTTTACATTAAAACGCTCTTTCGACTACACTATATGGGTATATATATATATATATATATATATATATATATATATATATATATATATATATATATATATATATATATATATATATATATATATATATATATATATATATATATATATATATATATATATATATATATATATATATATATATATATATATACCCTTATAGTGTAGTCGAAAGAGCGTTTTAATGTAAAAATATATATATATATATATATATATATATATATATATATATATATATATATATATATATATGTATATATATATATATATATATACATATATATATATATATATATATATATACATATATATATACATATATATATATATATATATATATATATATATATATATATATATATATATATATATATATATATATATATATATATATATATATATATATATATATATATATATATATATATATATATATATATATATATATATATATATATGTATGTATATACAGGGCCGTCCCAAACGCGGATGTAGGGATGACCATCCCACTAAAGCTCTCATATATACATTTAGGTCACTGGCTGGCAAAATGGCAACAAAACGTGCAAAAAATACGCGCTATAAGGCGGCAGTTGTGTTAAGGAAACTATTTGTTTTTACCTTAACGTTTCTGGCTTTTTGCTTAGACATCATAAATAAAACTTTACCTAGCTTTAGGTATATATTTAAATAATATAAAAGGTAAACTTTGCGTCAAACTAAACTTTTTTTTTAGGAGATATGGAAAATGCAGTTTTGAGAGTTTTTATTGTATAAAACGGCAAATTTGCATACAAATACCATATGGTGACAGTTTGATAGTTTTTAAGTGTTTTTATATGTATATATTATTATTTGTTTGAGTAAAAAAAATAATTAAGTAGTTAGTAGACTATATTTAACTATTTTCCAAATTTTTAGCACGCAGTGTGTGTATAAAATGTGCGACTAAAAAATATAGATTTTTCTTTCACTAAAACTCTTATTTTTTTCTTAAAGCGAAACAAAAAACTTGAAAATAGAAAAAAAAAAATTTCTTTATTGTAAGGGTTACGTCTAATTAACTTGTAAAATCATTCATTTCGTTAACTTTTCACAATGATGTTTAACATTAAGCTGACCCAACTGAGTAAAATCCACAAAAGAAAAAAGGCAACACTATTTTTTGTATATCACTGTGGAGAAGTGCAATTATTTTGATTTTAATAGTCCTAGTTAATGATTTGACTAGTTGGGCAAAAAAAAAAGAAAGCAAGCGCTCTAACCTCTGCGCCACGGCCGCACAAATCTGACATTATTAGCAAAAGATGCATCTGTTTTTAATGTTGTAGCATGATTTGACATATTAGAAAAACTTATCTGAAAGTACACAATGTTTTACAGATAATACTGTAACAATCCAAATCAATTTTGATGGCTTGCCTCTTTTTAAAAATTCAAGCATGCAGATATGGCCAATTCGTGGCTAAGAGGAAAAGTTTGATGGAATATTGCAATGCAATAAAAAACCATTTGTTATTGCACTGTACTGTAATAATTACAAACCTAAAAACATTACAGCTTTCATATTTGAAAATGGTATCACAATAACAACCAACAATATTCATTTAGAATTTCTGCAGTTATTTGTGATACCACAGCAAGAGTATTTGTAAAAAGCACTAAGGTTCATAATGCATATCATGGCTGCGATAAATGTGAGCAGCATGGTGTATAAAATGGAAAAGTAATTTTTCCTGAAACTGTTGCAACAGATACATCTTTTGCTAATATGTCAGATCATAAGAACCACATTTGTGTGAGTTCTATAGCTCAAACATCTATTGATTTGATATCAGGTGATTAAGTCCCAGGTGATTATATGCATTTGTCATGCCTGGGTGTTATGCTCAAGTTTGTATTTGTTAAATAAAGGTCCTTAGAAAACACGTTTTGGTCCACGTGCAGAATTAGATTTATTATAAAAGTTGCTTCATTTAAAAATAAATATATGTTCGTAATTTGCTCGAAAGCCAAAAGCAATTTCTGATTTTGAACGCTGGAAAGCTACAGAATTTCAACAATTTTTACCAATGGGTACAGTGACGTCCGTAGTACGTCCAAGGATGTCCAAAATGGACATCCTTAGACGTACTAAATGAAACGATTTTTGTCCGCCTATTCCTGACCACGTCTAAGAACTCCACATTTTCCCCGTTCATTCAACGTTTAATTTTATTCAGCTTATTCTCATACCGATTTCATTTTTAACAGCTATAAAAAATGGAGTCTTGATATAAGAAATGGTCTTTTTTTTCCCACAAGGCCTAAATTTAATATACATGTGTTTAGGGATTCAACACGTGTGGCAAACCTCATTAGGATAATAATAAAGTTATTAAATAAATAGTTAAATCCCAGTATTGAAACAAATCATAACAAAAAATAAAAAAATTTATTTAACGATATTAATATATAAATACAATCTAGCGGAAAACATTATTTTTTGGCTCGTTTTAACGTCACCAATTGCACACTCGATGTTGCTTACATCATAACACCAACAATAGTATCTAAAGAAATAATATTTTTCACAAAATTGTCAAGCATAGAGCATGTTTTAAAAAACCAAAAATAAACAATTAAATTCAAAAGGAAAATAAAGAAACTTTACTTTTCAATTTCATTTCGAAAAAGTCAACAAACTAAAAGACATTCACAATAAAAATTTATATTAAAATACATAATATTAGTTTAGGAAAGTCATTCATAAAAAAACTAAATTAAAATAAAAAAACAACCGCAAATATATTTGCAAATAATGAATAGGAGAAAATGAGCAATCTACTACTGTTTCACGTTCTGCTATTTACTGTTTTACAAAAATATTTAAGTCTTATATAAGATGCAATAGCTACAAACTCGCATCAATGCTCACCTTTTATGCATTTATAATAAGGAGTGCTCGTAAATTCACTTTTTTATTTCTTCCATCCTTGCTAAATAATACCTGTATTCAATGATAACATTCAAAACATTTTAAACTGTTTTCCGTAGAGTTGCTCCTCGCACTTCTCTCATTTAAGTAACCTTAAAAATTATTAAAATAAATTAAAAAACATGATTAAATATTTAACAAAATTTAAATACCATATAATCTAAACATATTATTTTCTGTCATCATCGCTAATAATTTTACAAGAATTTAAGGCACTTGTTAGACAAAAATAGCTACTTTCTCTTTTTCTTTAACTTCCAACTTGTTCAAACCTAAATTCATTATTAGTTTTTGTAGTTCATTATTTAGCCAAGATTTATATTACTTAAGCTTCATTAATACGTTAGATAAATGAATATATATGTATATATATATATATATATATATATATATATATATATATATATATATATATATATATATATATATATATATATATATATATATATATATGTATATATATATATATATAGGCCTCGGCGGGAAGAAATGAGTGCGAGAGCGACAAAACGCTTTCCTAAAACGAACATGGCGAGCCATGCGAGCTGCTTTTCTAAACAGGTTCTTAGGAGAGCTCTTAGTTTTTGCGCAAGCTGTTTACTCATTAAAAAAAAATTAATTTTTAAATACAAAATTTTGATTTTATACTTGTTACAAGTCTAGGGTGGGACAAATCCTTTTTTTTTTTAATGAAGGTTGACGTTCATATATTTATTTAATGACGAATGTCTAATTTAAGAGATATATGTCATAGGAAGTTTTTTTTTCAAATAATTTTTATTCTAGTTAATACGTTATTAGATATATCAATGATGCTTTTTGAATTTATTAATTTTTATTTCATCAAAACTACTTTACGCATTTCCAAAGTGCACGCAAATTAATGATAAAAAAAAAGCACGCTAAAAAAGCAATAATGCTAAGCATGGT